GAAAAAAGAAGCTCTTTTGGAATACTATGTCTTACAAGTCAAGTATCTCTTACAAAGCGCCACCATTGGCATAGTAATCTGTGCGTTCAATCTTTTCACCATTCTGTTTTTCATAGTCTAATAAGAAAAATCACTTGTTTGTCATTGTACAAGCTTTGAGTCATTGCTGGCTGTGTGGAAGAAGTGGCCCTTCTCTAAGTGTGATCCACAAGCCAGCCACAGAGCTCCAAGTTCTTCAAGTCCTGCAACTAATACATTGCTGTTTACATAAAAATGGTCACACAAACCATTACACACCTATTAAAATGGCTCCCCAGCAGTCTTGTAGCTCAGTGGTACAGCACATGTGTAAGGCCCTAGATTTGATGCCCAGTACTTCCCACAAAGAAAGAATGACTGAAGAAAAGGTATAGTTCAATTTCAATACAATTGGCATTTATGATAACTATTTAAATCCCCAACATCTCTTTGTACATATTTAACATTTCTTTCTGAATCACCCACTCAAAACGAAAGGTAGCAGCTGGCCCAAGCATGTACTCATTGATAGAACTGTTGCCTACCAGATGTAAGAATGTGGATTTGATCTCTCATACTGGCGGGAGAACAAAAGGAATGACTAAATCTAAAATAATGATAACATCAAGTACTGGGAAAGATAACAAACAACAGTTCTCAGGCATTGTGAGAATGAAAAATGGCAAATTCCTTACAGACTATTCCTATACTTTCTGTATAATTCAGTTATTACTCCTTGACGCATGTCCAAATGATTGAAAACTTAATAGGCATACAAAAACAAACACATGGAAATTTATAGCAGCTTTATTTATAACTGCCAAAATTTCAACGCAAATCATGATATCCATTTGGATGGATGAGTAGACCATGCTGTATCTAAATAATGAAATACTAAAAAAGAAACTGGCTTCTAAGCCAAGACTAGATATAAAGAAACTTTAAATGTTTATCACTGAGTGAAAGAAAGCCATATGAGAAGGCAGCATATTATCTGCTTCCAAATATGTGACTTCTACAAAAGGGAAAATTGCTGAGACAATAAAAAGATTAGTGCCTGTCAGGGGTACAGAGACAAGGAGGCAAAATAAGCAGAACACAGAGACATTTAACACCACTCTGAAAAGCACTACAGGGGTGGATAATTGTCATTGTGCATCTGTCAATAACCACAGAATGTGCAGCAGCAAGAGTGAATTGGACTTTGGGTAATCATGTGATAACGTAGATTCATCAACTGTACCAAAAGTACCACTGCAGCACACAGATTGTGTGTGTGTGTGTGTGTGTGTGTGTATGTGTGTGTGTGTGTGTGTATGCTCACGTGCGTACATGTGCCATTCCTGGGGCTTGAACTTAGTGCCTGGTAGTTGTCCCTGCACTTTATTTTAAAAGCTCAAGGTTTAGCGCTTTAGTTCTTGAACCACAGCTCAACTCACAACATGTTGGTGGTAAATTGGAGTTGGGAGTCTCACAGACTTTCCTGATTGCGCTGGCTTTGAACCAAGATCCTCAGATTTCAGCCTCTTGAGTAACTAGCATCAACTTTTATAAGATTGTTTTTATGTGGAACAAATCCTACTAATTATTTTGATGAAAAGACTCTAAGTATAGCTGGAAGGGCCTTTAAAGTTTTACTTAACCCAATCCTTCCTTCCTTCTCTCTTCCCTTCCTTCCTTACTAAAATATTTTCAAGCATATTTTGGATAATGTGCTCTGTGCCCACTTCTACCTGACCTTGCCCACTTACCTGTCTCCATCTGCCAGGAGACAACAAAAGCTTCTTCTCTAGAATTTCCTAGCCAGAGTCACTGTCTTGCCACAGTCCAGATAAAAATAATGCTAGTATTTCTTGTTATTTTTTTTAGCAACTTGGAAGCATATATAGCATTCTCGCTGCCATCTTGAATGTTGGAAACATTGAGTTTTCTTCCGTAGCAACTGAGCACCAGGTTGACAAGAGCTACATCTGCAATCACACAGCTCTGGAGAATTGTGAGTTTTGTTATCTTCCGTTTTCAAATCTACACTTTGTTAAAAGTCTCCTACTGCAAGTGTCACATGAGGATCACTTTAAGCAATTGTTCCCACACAGAATCCTTAAAAAAAAATACTAGGATTGCATTTGTGTAAAACAAAATTGTAAATGTCCACTACTTAGAAGAGATCCTCCCATGTGTGAACTGGTGACTGCACAATGTGTTTCTGAACATGGAATATCTATGACTGTATCAGGAGCTGTTTGCTCCTGGGTCAAATTTAGTGAGCTACCATGGGAAAGAATTGAAGTTGTTACCTTGGAATGTTAAGACCCTATATCATTTTTAAAGTAATAAAACTTGAACAGTTTCTTATTGGATGAATTCTGTCTACCCATTCATGCTGAGTTAATTAATGTTTCAGACATTTTCCCACACAACAGAAACACATTATGGGACTCACTTCAAATCAAGTGTGCTCTCAGTAAAAGTGTTAAACCGATGGTTGGCAATTACTTTTAGCATCCTTCAGCGATTTTTCAAACTTTTTTCCTGTTCAGAACATATCCCATCCTTTCACTTTTAATGTCATCATGTGTCCTTAAAGCTTTGTATTTATTAAAAGTTTTACCCATAACCTTACTATAATGCAAATTTTCAGGTAACTATTTTAAGGATAATTTCAGAGGACCAAATACCAAATCCTTCTGGTCCAGACCTTTTCTTGATATCACTATTGTCTGTACACTGTCTGCACATTGTCTGTACACTATTCTCTGAACACTGAAACCAGTGTGGTAAGACAGAAGAACAGTGGTCTGAGTTGACACAGAGTAAGTGACATGTACCAGAAAACTAGAAAATACCATATATATTCTACATATATACTATAACTTAATTTGGCATAAAAGATACCAGGTCATCAGAGTTGCAAAGAAGAAACCTATAACTCCATTGATAACTTTTAATTCTTGCTATCTAATCCTAATTAAAGTTTTATCAGTAGCCCACAAGGTTGAGATCAGGTTGTTTCCATCAGCTTTCCGTGGGGGTAACAAACAACTAAAGAGGGAGGAAAGGTTTATTTAAACTTAGGTTCAGAGGTTGCAGTCGCTGCTCAGTTGGCCCTTGCTTTTTGGACCTGTGATTAGATAAGACATCATGACAAGAGAGTACATGGTGAAGCAAAGTTGTTCACCTTAAGGGAGCCAAGTAACAAAGAGAGAAGAAGAGGATCAGGGTCCCAGTATCGCCTTCAAAGACACTCTCAGTGCCCCAGATTTCACCTGGTGACAGATCCACCACCTTTCAGTAGCAAGTCTGCTTGATTCATGTAATTTGGGCATAGCACAGCCAAAATAATCATTTTAGCCAGGCACTGATGGCTCACACCTGTAATCCTAGCTACTCAGGGGGCTGAGATCTAAGGATCAGGGTTCAAAGCCAGCCCCAGCAGGAAAGTCCTCATGAGACTCTTATTTCCAACTAGCCACTAGGAACCAGAAGTGGCACTGTGGCTCAAAGTAGTAGAGCCCTAAGCTGGCCGCTGGTGTCTCACACCTGTAATCCTAGCTTCTCAGGAGCTGAGATCTGAGGATCACACTTCAAAGCCAGCCTGGGCAGCAAAATCTGTGAGACTCTATCTCCAATAAACCACCAGAATACTGGAAGTGGTGCTGTGGCTCAAGTGGTAGAGCACTAGCCTTGAACCGAAGAGCTGAGAGACAGCACCCAGGTCCTGAGTAAAAGCCACACAACTGCCAATAAATAAATAAAATTTTGAAATCAAAACAAATTTCCAAAACAAAAAATTTTACGTTTCCACATGTAGCTCAGTTGTCACAGAGAAGCTTCTAGTCCATCCCATTTAATCCTCCTTTGTGTTTAAATTACTGAGTGATGGGCTGGGAATATGGTTTAGGAGTAGAGTGCTTACATGAAGCCCTCGGTTCAATTCCTCAGTAGCACATAAAGAGAAAAGGCCAGAAGTGGCGCTGTGGCTAAAGTGGTAGAGTGCTTGCCTTGAGCAAAAGAAGCTCAGGGACAGTGTCCAGGCCCTGAGTTCAAGTCCCAGAACTGGCTAAATAAAGTACTGAGTGATCTAGGAGTGTTTCTCTGCCCTTAATTTTGTGTAGCTATGCCTCCCAAAACGCAAAGCAAAAGTTAGGGAATCCTCTAAGCTCCAGAAGGCAAGCAGTACGCTTAATTTAAGTGAATGTGTTAGATTTGTTGTAAGAAGCTTGTCTTTATTGGAAGTTGTTTGATGTTACAATTCAAATAATTCTAATATCTTCATTTCTTGAAAGTGATGCTACTACCTTTTCCACTAACCATGCATCGTTTTCTTTTGCAGCTGCTTCTTTGCTTTGCATTCAGGCAGATGAGCTACAAGAAGCTCTTACCTCCCACTGTGTGGTCACTAGAGGAGAGACCATTATAAGACCCAACACTGTAGAGAAAGCTATTGATGTCAGAGACGCCATGGCAAAAACTTTATATGGACGTCTCTTTAGCTGGATAGTAAATTGCATTAATAGTTTGTTGAAGCATGACATATTTCCAAGGTAAAAACTTTTATATACGCTCTTTTCCAAAAGATCATTCAAAGCATCTATTTTGTAACTTTTTTAATTTTTGTAAGTCTTTTTGAAGATATTTTGAGTTCTTTTAATTTAATGGTGCAAGTTATATATTTTGCTAGAAATGCTTCATTTCCTAATAGGGTCACTTTACTGTGCCACAGGACGATAGAATTTTGTAATTGATGTAACATAAAAACAGGAAGTGATTTGTGTGTGGTTGTGTGTGCCTGTGTGTGTGTGTGTGTGTGTGTGTGTGTGTGTGTGTGTATGTGTGCGTGTGTACATATGCATGTGAATTCTGGGCCTTGAACTCAGGGCCTGGGCACTGTCCCTGAGTTTTTTTTGTTTTGTTTTGTTTTTGTTTTTTGTTGTTTTTTTTTAACTCAAGGCTAGCCCTCTACCACTTGAGCCATAGCTCTATATCCAGCTTTTTTGGTAGTTAATTGGAGATAAGAGTCACAGATTTTCCTGCCTGGGCTGGCTTCAAGCCAGAATCTTCAGATCACAGCCTCCACAATAGTTAGAGTTACAGGTATGAGCCACTAACACCTGGCTAGAAAGTGATTTGTAAATGCAATATCTTACTATCACTATGATGTTTTAATTAGGAGTTTACAACAAAGAAAGTATACATCATTGTATGGCTATCAACTTTAGAAATTCTTTTTTTTTTAGAAGTATAGATTAAATCATGAAGATAAAGGAAAACCTCCTGTTCATGGTTTTGATCTTATTATAAAGGCACATGAAATGTGGTTCAGAAATTCACTAGAGAATGGTGGAGAATAGTGAATGGTACAGCCAAAATAGGAGCACTAATGATATCTGACTCTAGGTCTGTGGTCTTCCTATACTTCATCTTGGAAATAATATAAATTGGAGCCACCATTGACTGGCTTTGCGTAGATATAAATCCTCACATTTATGCTGAAAGATTTGTTCAGCTATAAACTACACGAATTTTAGAAAATTTACATATGGGAAGTCTAGATGAGATACTTACCTCGCAGGTAATCCTATTCACACCTGCTTGTAAAAGACCATTGTATGTACATTTTTTGCGGGGAGGTCCGGTTGTGGGGCCTGAACTCTGGACCTGGGCGCTGTCCCTCAGCTCTTCAGCTCAAGACTAGTGCTCTACCACTTGAGCTACAGCGCCACTTCCGGCTTTTTGCTTTTTGCTTATGTGGTGCTTAGGAACTGAACCCAGGGCCTCAGGCATGCAAGGCAAGCGTTCTACCACTGAGCCACTTTCCCAGCCCCTTGTACATATGTTTTAAAACCACAATTCATAAGCCACTGGCTTACATCTGTAATCCTAGCTATTCAGGAGACTGAGATCTAAGGATCACGATTAGAAGCCAACCCTGGCAGAAAAGTCTTCAGGAGATTCTTATCACCAATTCATCACTCAAAAACCCAAAGTGGCTTTGTGACTCAAAGTGATAGAGCACTAGCCTTGGGCACTAGATAGAGCACTAGCTCAGGGATAGCACCTAGGCCCTGAGTTCAAGCCCCACAACCAACAAAAAATATGTAGTTTGCTATTTTTCCACTTCAATAATTTCCACACCATAGTGTCCAGTTAAACTGAGCTCACCCATTATTCTCTACCATGTTCTTAACTCTGTCACTCAAAATTGTTCCTATACCTTTGTGCTGGACAGTCCTATCACAGCTGAGTCAACAAGTCACAATTCAGTTTAGGATTTAATGATCCTAGGTTTTTAAGTTGTACTTGGTTATCTTGTTGACATCGGACATTCATATGATTTTTTTGGTATATGGATATTCAACATATGGATATTCCTCATAATGTAAACAAATTTAGAGATTTTTTACCTCACTTTGTTAGGTAGCATCTGCATGCTTACTTAGCCCAATGGCTCCCAACAGAATGATGTGCTGAAAATCCCATAATAGCCTATCTGCTAAGTAGTAAAGTTCCATTCTTTATACTATTAAAAACTGTCCAAGTCTTAGACCCCAGATTGGAGTCTCTACCTCATCTATTGTTAAATGACAGGTCAGTCACTTTCACTAATGGAGGTCTCTTGAAAACTGCCTATGTCCTTTGCTCCAATTTTTTTTAAATAGACACATCTATATATACCCACAAAAACATTACAGAGTTATAACTACAGACACCTTAAAAGCCAGTAGCAGATTCTGTTCTGAGAATCCCTGAGTTAGATAATCGCAAAGATCTTTCTGAGCTCTAACACATTATTGTCCAATGAGTTCAGTGTTTATCTCAGTGAAATCCAATGTGGAAAAAGCATTACAAAGGAATATTTTTGACTATGCCAGCATAAACCTTTATGCAGACATCTGACCTCATATAACCACATACATTTATATCCAACTGTTCAAAATAGGAACTTTCAGAAACACATTGCTTGCTTTGTGTCCACCTATCACATCTTCTAAGTATTCCTTCTCTCTTGAGTTTCCAGTCCAGTCACTTCTCCCAAACAAATGCAGAGAGCACCCTTCCGTTTTTAGTGGTCATTTTCAACTCATTTCCCCACAAAACACTGAAGGTGACCTACACTCCCTAAATACTAAATGTTAAGAGGGGTTTTTGTGCTTTCCTTTTTAATGCACATGAAAGTTCTTATCTAAGTATCTAACCTTTAGTGAGCAGAAGTAATGACGTAGAGTAGCAGAAAGAAAATGCATTTGAAATATGTAAGTATAACATAATATTTATTATACTTTAAACAATGCTTGACAAGAAATGTACTCATTGCCTTACCCATTTAACTGTAAACTCTGTACAACATCTTTAAAATAAAATAAAATAAAAAAAGAGTGGACAATATAATTGTAAGATTCCTTTAAAATAAAAACAATACCAGCATACCAAAAAAAATTAATTAGAAACTAAATCCCTACTTATGTATATCTTTCTTCAGGTTACCATTAGTTCTAAATTTTTAAAGTTATAAGCAAATAATAAAAAAATGATTCTTTCAAACAAGAGCTTTTTAGTAAGAATTCTTTTGAATTGCTCGTGCAAGAGGTTAAATGTACTCATTAGCAGAATTTTTTCTTTTCTGGTATAGTTTGATTAATAATTAATATTAATAATTAATAATTGCTGTATTCTGGGTGCCAATTCAGTTGTCCATATAATTTTTGACTGTGATTCCTGGTTGTGACACTTATTCCTGGTTTCTTTTATGCAAAGGATGTGTTGTTCTATTCATGTATTAAAATATTAATTTAAACCATTTGTCTTTATGATCTATGGAGAATGAATTTTTTTTTGTTTTTGTTTTATCTTTTGTTTTAAGTGTATGTGTCCATACTGGGACTTGATTTCATGGCTCTGTGCTCTCAGTTGGCTTTTTCCACTCAAGGCTGGAACTCTACCACTTAAGCTATAGCTCCACTTCTGGCTTTTTGCTGGTTAATTGGAGACTTTCCCAGACTTTTCTCCCTGGGCTGGCTTTGAATGATCCTCATATCTCAGCCTCTTCAATTGTTAGGATTACAAGTGTGAGCCACCAATGCCCAGCAAGGTTTTTTTTTCAATTAAGAGAAATTCACTCTGTGTGTGTGTGTGTGTGTGTGTGTGTGTGTGTGTGTGTGTGTCCTGGGAGTAGTTTCTTAACTCAATCACAAATGAAACCTCTGAGATACTCTGCTTTGTATTATCCTAAGGAAATAAATAATAATACTGTTTCAATTCTTCTAGTAAGAATGATGATGAGCTGAGCATTGGCATTCTTGATATATTCGGCTTTGAACATTTCAAAAGGAATTCCTTTGAGCAACTGTGCATTAACATTGCAAATGAACAAATTCAGTATTACTTTAATCAACATGTGTTTGCATGGGAACAGGTAAGTCTAGTTACTTAACGTAAAGACCCATGTGTGTATTGTAATGTATAATTATACAAAGTAGTATGTAAACCATAGCTTTAAATCCTTACACATTAAAAAAAAGACCAAAACACCAGGTACTGGTGACTCATGCCTGTATTCCTAGCTACTCAAGAGGCTGAGATCTAAAGATCTAGGTTCAAAGCCAGCCTGGACAGGAAATCCCATGTGACTCTGATCTCTGATTAACCACCAAAAAGCTGAAAGTGAAGTTGTGGTTCAAGTGGTAGAACACTAGCCTTGAGTGAAAAAGGTCAGGGAGTTCAAATCCCAGCACACACACACACACACACACACACACACACACACACACACACACATACACACTCACACATACACACATCTGCCTTTCTCTATACCCACAGTAAAAACAGAAATGAAAGCAAACAAAAAAGCTAGCTTGTTTAGTATGACTCCATTTGAGATGCAAAGAATCTTTCCTTGGAAAACAGTGCGATTTTCTCCAAATTGTAGTAAGTTTAGGTCCTTGAGAATAATGACATTTCCTTTGAAAACTTAAATAAACTAATGTGTCCAACAGTTTTCTCTTTCGGTAGACTGCAGAGCTGAAGTTCTTCGTGAAATTTCAATATCCATCTAAACTGCATTAACTTCAGAATTCTTGTAGCTAGGCAACAGAACACCAGATAATGGGTTTGATTCAAGTGCCACGAAACAGTAATTTTGTCAGAGCACAATGTGTAATTTATGATTCAGCTTCAAAAAATATTCTTCCTCTGAGAAGAAAATCAGACTCATTTGAATTCCATTTGGCAAGAAAAAAATTGTTATGTGAAGATCATTTAAATTATTTTATTAATTGTACAAGTCACATTTAATATTATTCTGTATGCCATTTGTCACCTAATTATACTATTTCACTTTGTGTTTACTGATTAAAACTGATGTTTTAAGGCTGAGATGAATTAGAGGAACCTAGCTTCCTTGTACTTAAAATCTTCAGTCTTATGGAGAATTTATTTTGAAAATTGTGTTTGGAAAATAGCGGTCACAAAAGAACCCCTCTATACATCATCTTGACAAAAAAAATCAAATCATAAATAAATAAATAAATCTTGGCATTTCCTACCAGAAATAAAAGGATAGGGCATAGGTTTAAAAGCTTTCTATGATTCAAATATTACTGATTTCTCCCCCTTCTCCTTCTCATCTTCTTCTCTACCTATCCCTTGGTGTCCTCCTATAGCCTTAATACATGATAGAATCCCTTGAAAAGATTAAAAGAAAGCAGTGGAGGAAAATTCTTAAAAACCTTGCTCCAAGCAGGGCACCAGTGGCTCATACCTATAATCCTAGTTACACAGGAGGCTGAGATGAGGATCATGGTTCAAAGCCAGCCCTTGTCAAAAAAGTCTGTGAGACTTATCTCCAATTAACCGCCAGAAACCTGGGAATGGAGCTATGACTCAAACCATTGGCGCACTAGTTTTGAGCAAAAAAGCTCAGTGTCAGTTCTCAGGCTCTGAGTTCAAGCCCCAGGACTGACAAACACGCACACACCTGCCCCACCCCCTCACCTCACACACACACACACACACACACACACACACACATGACACATTTTTGTCAGTCATAAGATTTAAACTCAGGGCCTGGGTGCTGTCCCTCAGCTTTTTTTTTTTTTTAGCCAGTCCTGGGGCTTGAACTCAGGGCCTGGGCACTGTCCCTGAACTTCTTTTGCTCAAGGCAAGTGCTCTACCACTACTTTTGGCTTTTTTTTCTGGGGGGGTCAGGTTGTGGGGCCCAAACTCTGGGCCTGGGCGCTGTCCCTCAGCTCTTCAGCTCAAGGCTAGCGCTCTACCAATTGAGCCACAGCGCCACTCCTGGCTTTTTTCTTTTTGTTTATGTGGTGATGAGGAATCGAACCCAGGGCCTCAGGCATGCAAGGCAAGCGCTCTACCACTGAGCCACCTTCCCAGCCCCTTGGCTTTTTCTGGTACTGAGGAATTGAACCCAGGGTTTCATGCATGTTAGGCAAGCACTCTATCACTGAACCACATTCCCAGCCCATCCTGAGCTTTTCCACTTACTTTAAGCTACAGCACCCCTCCAGCACTAACTTTTATAACTAAGAAATAGCTATTAAAACATCCTCAACTAAAAGCACACTGTAAGTACTTTATTAGCCCTGAGAATAGGGCGGTTTTATTTTCTCTGTGGTTTGTCCATATTCCATACCACAAGCATCTCTAACAGAAATCCATTGTTTACCAAGTGACTCATTTTTGCTCCATGTGACCTGCCACAAAAGCAGGCAGTGAATTTTGACACAAGCAAATCGCAGTGACAAATGCATCACTTTTGGCTTTAACCTCATGGACTTTCTCTATCAGGCATCCAAAAGTTCTCTTGAACTTTGTGGTTTTGATTTCCACTATTATATGCTGTCAGCATACTGTGTCTAACAATAAAACAATTCTATGTTTTCAGACTTCTCTCAAGGTTACCTTCAAATGAAAAGACTGAAACTTCAAGCTATTGCTTTTATTTTCTCATACTAAACAAACTGAACATCTTTCACATTCTCCACTGCTTAGACTAAGGGTTCTGATTCTTTTATATGCGTTAGGTTTTGTTTTATTGCAAAAATATAATTTGGAGTCAAATGCCAGTGATTCATACTTGTAGTGCTAGCTACTCAGAAGCCTGAGACTTGGAGGATTACCGTTCAAAGCCGCTGAGGAAGGAAAAAAGTCCACTAGGCTCCATCTCCAATTAGCCAGTAAACATATATATATATATAGCATAATATATATAATCTTGAGTTTAATCAACACTTACTTATTTTTTTTCAAATACAGTGTAAACAGGATTATACCACGGGGGAAGAACATGCAAGAGAATAAAAAAAATTGCATAGTACATTTTAAATACGTTAAAAATAATAGCAAGAAAGAAAAAACAAGTTGTGTCACTATCTTGGGGTTCATTTCACTTAACATAATCTTACATGGTCATATGTACATAGCTTTTGGCCTTTTCTGCTTGTCCTTGACTTATACTAGTTATTGCAAATAAGGGAAACCATGGGGCCTGTTTCTTTGGGCCTGGTAACTTCACTTAATATAATTTTTTCCAAGTCCTTCCATTTCCTAACAAATGGATAATACTTATTTTAATGAACTAGCACTTCTCTGTGTGTGTGCATGTATGTGTACATGTGTATGTATGCATATGGAGTGTATAAATTAGTAATAGAGTATAGGATAGCAGTCTTAGGGTCCTGGCTTCATTTCCCAGTGTGATAAAAAAAATAAAAATAAACTTTTTTCATAACACGCTTGGAATGAGATTTCAGCATAATAAGGCTTCTATCATAGCATTTAAAATTTTTAATTTATCGGATGTCTGGAACTGCAGTTGCTAAATTCTAAAGTTGCAAGAAGCATGCTTTGAGCAATTCTAGCATACTATAGTTAGCATCTACCCTATTTCACCTTGTGTTATCACCCAACTTAGATTTGAAACCTGCTGACACGTGGAGCTTTTGTGTTTTAAACATCATTTTATCATACACAATGTTGCTGCCTTATAAAAAGTTCATTAAATACATGTTATGAATTAAAGCATATGAAAAAATCATGGTGGAATAGTGTGGGATTGAAACCTATAGAGGACATGCTCCCTGGACCAGCACTTACCCCTATATTTATGAGGGTCTGGGCATGGGGTTTGTTTATCACCTAAAATCCTGAGACACTCCTACACAACCATCACTATTAAGTCCCAGTTCAAAGGTCCTGTGAGTCTTTCCCAGGCTTCAGAACTTGGACAAGGGAAGAGTATGAAGGGAAAGTCATAGCAACAAGATAGTAGTCTCCCCCCCCCCGCCCCCACGTAGATTGTTGACACTGTTAACTACAGTCATGGCCAGTGAGTCATTGTTTCTCTCTCTCTCTCTCTGTCTCTGTCTCTGTGTCTCTCTCTGTCTCTGTTTCTCTGTCTCTCTGTGTCTCTCTGTCTGTCTCTATCTCTGCCTCTCCGTCTCTGTTTCTGTCTGTCTCTCTATGTCTCTGTGTCTCTGTCTGTCTGTCTGTCTCTCTCTCTCTCACTCTCTCTCTCTCTCTCTTTCTCTCTTTCTCTCTCTCCCTCTCCCCCCCTCTCTCTCTCTCTTTGGTACCAATCCTGGAGTTTGTACTTGGGGCCTGGGCATTATCCCTGGGCTTTCTTTTCTCAAGGCTAGGCTAGTGCTCTATTGCTTATGTGCCACTTCTGGAATTTTTTGGTGCTTAGTTGGAGATAAGAGTTTCATGATCTTTCCTGCCCGGGCTGGCTTTGAACCTCGATCCTCAGATTCTAGCTTCTTGAGTAGCTAGGATTACAGGTGTGAGCTACCAGCACCTAGCCAAGTGTTCTTATTTCACATGTCTTAATGGGCCACGTAGTTTAACGTCTAGAGATAGGGATTCTGGGCCCTTTTAACAGATGAGACAAGGGAAGCTTATAGAGTAAGACAATTACAGTGATCATGTGACTGGCCAAGTGACAGTGCCAGATGTGGACCTGTGGACCTGGTTCTAAACCCAATAGTTGTTTTTGTGACCTGCTACTGTCTAACTTCCTCTCAGCTTAAAGATCTGAAGTCATACCTGAGAAGTCAGGAAAGTGTTTTTCAGAGGACTCATAGGGTAAAGGTTAACCCTAAGGTTACTCTAATTCATATTCAATACATTTGGGATAGGCTCTTCCAACTTTTTAGTAACAACATATTCTTCAAAACTTGAAATGTTTGGAAATCCAAAACAGAGACTAGAAATTCTTTTAATATTATCTTGATTATAATCAGTGCTGATTTTAATGAATCAGCACTTCTGTGGGAGAAATGTGAAATGGAATGTCATAGAAATGGCATTGAGAGTCATTTATTATAATGTAGATGATTACTAGCAAACTTAGTACTGCCCACACAGTATTCAGTGAGCTTCTCCTTTGTTTCCTGGCCTACTCTAGAATGAATACCTGAATGAGGATGTGGATGCTCGAGTTATTGAATATGAAGATAACAGGCCTCTCTTAGATATGTTTCTGCAGAAGCCAATGGGGTTATTGTTTCTACTCGATGAAGAAAGTAGATTTCCCAATGCCACCGACCAGACTCTCATAGGTAAGTTCTAAACCCCATGTGGCTGCACAGTTTATGAATACATTAATGTCGTTTGGGATGATTTTTTGTTTTCAATTATCAGTGTGAAAATAGCCATTACAAAGTCTGTATATTTGACTTGAAAAAAGAGACTTTTGATATAATACCTAGACCAGTGAACATTCATTAAAAAATAAAATACTTAGGGCAGGATTAAACAGGATTGTATGCTGGATTTCTGTTTACTTTATGGTAGAAACTCAACCATAAAAATCGTAGGTTAGAAAAAATAACCTTAGAAAATTTCCAGCCCAGAATTAGAAATTGATAAGCAAAGCAGAAAGATAGCTCTAGAATTTGAAAAGAGGTAGCTAACGGTCCTGGAATAAATCCACCTGTGATGTTCAAACCATTTATTTAACAGAGGCAAATAGCCTCAAATTCTTTAATAACCTCCAAGTTTACAGCACACTGATAAATGCTCATGATAATAATCCTGAGTCATAGCAGGAAGATTTAATATTTTCACGTTTTTCTGCTTGAGAAGGCAAAGATGTGTATAATGTATTTAAGGAGATTATCATCCCAAAATATTTATAATGGAAAGGTCTCTCTTAAATTTAAGAAGGAAAAAAAAACTTTGGAGTTTTCAAGTCACTGAAAAAGTCATAATTTAACATGCAACACTATTTCCTGCTGATGGAAGAGATCTATCCTGGATAACAAGTACTTGAAGAAAATGTAGATTCACTTTCTTTTTTTCCTTATTTCCTTTGGTGATACACAGAACCTGTTTCTCAGTGTTTGTGTTGTTGCTTCCTCCAGACCCTCTTGATTGTCTTATGCTGTCCTCTGAGTAGACAGGAATAGATGGAAAAGAAAATAACACCAAAGTTGTGGGGAAAATCATTTCATAGCAGACACTTGGTATCAAAATGTTCCCTCTAGGATATGGAATAACAAGTTCTCTGAATATGTAAAAATCATTAGAGAAACGTAACTGTCTTTATGATCTGATTTTGCTTCTTATGTAACCAAAACAGCCGTGAATTCTGGCTCCTTCCTCAGACACACTCAGCCAGAACCTCAAGGTGGGGACCCACAGACTCGGGCTGACCCTGATCCACACTAAGGTTTGAGAATAGGAGCTGCACACTGGTGGTTTACACTCATCATCCTACCTAGTTAGGAGACTGAGATCTAAGGATCTGGGTTCAAAGGCAGCCCAGGAGGAAAGTCTATGAGACAGTTATCTTCAATTAACCAGCAAAAATAAAAATAAAAAACAGAAGTCAAGATGGGTCTCAAGGAGTAGATCACCACCCTTGAGTGAAGAAAAGTTATGGGACAGCTCCCAGGCCCTAAATGCAAGCCCCAGCACCAGTACCAAAAAAATTAAAATGTAAATCAGACTACAGTGGTAAAAGTTGACTAATCTCAATAACCTCTGAAGATCTTCTACAGTGCTTAGTACTGGAATTCAACTTTTCTTCTACAGAAAAATTTGAAGGTAACCTGAAATCACAATACTTTTGGAGACCTAAAAGAATGGAACTTAGTTTTGGAATTCACCATTATGCAGGAAAGGTAAGAACTGTTAAGAAGTATGACTGAGTTTCTCCTTAATAGCTCATCCAAAAATAAGATATACGTGGTGGTTATGCTGAGACGGCCATCTTCTTCCACTCTCATCTGATCCCATCCCTGATGACCAGTATTCTACCATCTGCCTAGCCTGGCTAACCACTCAGTATGGAGACTGCTCATTCTGTAAGACAAACAATACCATCATCCATCCTGAAAAGGTTTACAATATATCCCTCTTTTACTTCATTAAACATTAAAAGTTAGAGTTGCTGGGCACCAGTGGCTCATGCTTGTAATCCTAGTTACTCAAGAAGCTGAGATCTAAGGATCACAGTTTAAAGCCAACCTCAGGCAGAAAAGTCTGTGGGACTCATCAAGTGAAGGTTTGGCTCAAGTGGGAAAGCACAAAATTTGACTGAAAAAAACAAAAAAAAAAAATCAAGCCCTGAGTTTAAGCCCCAGTACTAGCAATAAATAAAGTAAGTAAGTAAATAAGTTGGACTTTCTGGGGGAACTTCTCATTTTAAAAAACATCAAAGAAAAAGAAGAAAGAAAAATAGCCAAGTCCATGTTTATGATCATAAGATCCAATTGTGAGTGATAGCTGGCAATGGTTACGCTTATTTTTTTCCATCTTTTTTTGAATAATAGCTGAGAACATTATAGAAACTACACTTTTCAGACTCAAATGTCTCTCTCTACTACAGCCATGTTCCTCCTCCCTCCCATTTGGAGATGGGGCCAGGCTGTAGCTATGGTCACTATGGTCACTTAGCTGAGCCACCCCACATAGACTTGGATGGATCTGGCTAATAAACTGTTACAGTGTTGAAGGAAGAAATGTTCATGCATTGAGAGACATCTGCACCCCCAAGCAAGCCTCAGATAGGTGTCCATGTACCCACAGGATGCCTTCCTCCCGCCTTCTCCGACAATGATGTCATAAACATTGGGGGACTACAAAGATGTTCAAATCAGGATATAATATATAAAGTGAGAGCAACATTAAAAAATAAGTGAAATAACTCAACATCTCTTGCATGTTAGTACATATGGAAAGCAATGGTCCACTGACTTTTGTTATTAAAACATACACCTCAAGTTATTTCAACCATAACCTCTCCCATAATATTTTAGCGTATGACTTTCCAAAGAAAGCCTCTTCCTTTAACTATCCATTAATTCTTTATGGGCAACCTGTTGACACCTGTAATCCTAGCTACTCAGGAGGCTGAGATCCAGAAGATCAAAGTTCAACAGCAGCTTGTGAAGAAAAGTCTATGGGACTCCATCTACAAAATAACTAGCAAAAAGACAGGCTGGATGTGTGGTTCAAGTGGTGTGGCACTGGCTGAGCAAGCTAGCTGTACATTTCCCAAAGCCCTGAGCTTGAACCCCAGCAATAGCCCCCAAAAAGAAAAATTTAAGCTATAATCATTTTATCCCATTGTTTTTAACAAGTCTGTTACTAAGCTTTAATACAAAAATAGCACTGGGTGCTTGGCTTAAACAACCGAAATTTCTTTTCTGTTCTGTTCTTTTCAGACCTGGAGGGTGGAAGTTCAAGGTTAAGGTGATCCTGATGGCAATAGTGTCTGATGAGGCCTCTCCTCCTGACTTTTAGACAACTGAAGTATTGCTGAGTCTAAATGGCCCTCTCTCACTATAGACACAGAGCATTTTTATGTGAATTCTGGGACCCATAACAATAACCATATTGGATAATCCTTTAGAAATCACTGATCACATACAACTTTAAATGCTCTTAAAATTATTTAGAAGTGCTGGAATACAAATGCATAGGGTTTAGACTCCACTGCTAAGTAAAGAAAATGTCAAGGCCAATTTAATACAAGTGAATCATTTACCCTAAAAATAGGAATGCTTCTTTTATGTGGCTCAACTTTCCCAATAAGAAAAGGAACAAAGCAAATTCCCAAGTGATGACAACAATCAGATCACTTTGGTTGTATCAATACAAATGCCTCCTGATTAACTGAGATTACAGGTTTACGCCACTACTCTCAGCTTGTGTTTTGAGATAGGATCTCACCAACAGTTTTTTTGCCTAGGCTGGTCTTGAACCTCCCCACCTTCACCTCCGAAGTAACTAGGATTATAGGTATAGACCATCATACTGGTTCCTGAGAGGGTCATCTTCAAATTACATTGAAAGGAATTACCTCTGTGATGCTTGTGCCTATATTGCCAAGCATAGACTAGGTTCTCATTAAATCAGCTCTGGTACCACTATGATCATTACAACAGCATCCTTTATCAACAGGTCCTCTATAGTGCGAGTGGCTTCTTAGCCAAAAATAGGGATACTCTTCCAACTGACATTGTACTACTTTTGAGATCATCAGAAAACAGTGTGATTCGTCAGCTTGTCAGCCACCCTCTGACCAAAACAGGTAAGGCAATCTCCTTTAACTAAAGAAGGATCCTCAGATCCTCATCAAATAGTATTTCTCTCTCGGGTTTTCATGACCAGAATCTTCAATTCATTAGTTCCTTTTCAACCCATGAAATATTCATTTATTTATCACCTACATTGATATGAATATTAATGCCCCAGATCATCTGAGAGTAATATCAAAATAAACATAAAGTACCTGGATAATAATTAATGAAAAGTGATTGAGGCACTCACCAGAAAACATGACAGTCTCCATGCTAATACTAAAACAAGTTCATCCTTCTCAAAAGATTTTAGATTTACCTACTATTTTTCTGGCATGACCAACCTCCAGAGGATTCCTCAAGATTCTGAAAGTTTAGCTTGCTGACTCATTGATTAAAAATGCTAGTGGCTCATGCCTATAATCCTAGCTACTCAGGAGGTTGAGATCTGAGGATCATAGTTTACAGCCAGACCAGGCAGGAAAGTCTGAAGGACTCTTATCTTCAATTAACCAGCAAAAATCAGAAATGGAGTTGTAGCTCAAAGTAGTAGAGCACTAGCATTAAGCAGAAAAGCTTAGGGATAGCACCCTGGCCCTGAATTCAAGCCCCACGACTGTCCAAAAAAAAAAAAAAACTCACATGATTTTGTTACATCCCACTGTACCTCGCCTGTTCTTTCCATTTACATAGAAAAACATAGCTTGGGTTTATTTTTTTCCTGGAGTTTAAACTACTCTTTGTACTTTTAAAAATAACTTTAATGAGGTACACATGAAACCTATAAGCAGTAAAATTTGATGGTTTTCACATATGTAAACTGATTTTAGAGACGGGATGGTGTGACATTAAATGTTCAGCGGTTTCTCCTACCATGTCCTGCTGGTATGTTGGGAATTGGCTCAGGAGCCCAAGTTCCTTAGTTCTTCATATGCTACCTCCACTTTTCCAAATGAACCATAGTCGCTTTCCTACATAGCTTTGAAGATGGACTATAGATCAGCTGTTAAGCAAAGGGAAAATGTACCACAGTTGCTTGCCGCTGTCGAACTGTGGTACAGTAGTATAGAAGTACCTGTGTCTGTGGTACAGATGCTGCGATTTTTCAGAGTTTTGTTCATCAGATCAAGGATTCAAACAAAGTTTGAGTATTTTCTGATGTTAGACTCTGTGCTGATTTTAGTCCCTATTGATCAGAGTAGATTAATTTTTTTAAATACTTTTGTGCTGAGCACAATGGCATACACTTGTAATCCCAGCTGTTCAGGAGGTTGAGATCAGGAGGATTGTGGTTTGAGGGTAGCCAGAACAAAAAGTTTGCAAGATCCCATCTCAACCATTAAAGCTAGACTTGCTAGTGTACATCTGATTTATGTGGGAGTTATAAATAGAAGAGTCATGGGTTCAGGACAGCCTAGACAAAATTGTAAGGCCCTATTCCAAAACATAATGAAAGCAAAAACATCTGGAGGTTATGACTCAAGTGGTTCTAACTCAAGGTACTGAGCAAATGGGAAGCTCTGAGTTAAAACCCCAGGATTACCAAACACAAGCTAAAAGGTTTTTTTATTTTGTTGTCAAGTCATGGGATGACTGGTATCTAAATTTTGTCAAAGTGAAAATATTAATCTATTACTCAGTTCCCTCTGGTCTTTTAGTTTTCAGAAAAACTTAAAATTTGAATTATATGCTTCATGTGAAGTAATGGGTCTAACATTATTAATGTCCCTAGCACTGTATATTTATCATCCTTCTGAACAATCTGAAAGCCTGTGATAATTTCTCCCAATTAAAATCTTTTTTTCTATGACCTTCTCTGATAACTGACCAAAACAAATAAATAAAATAAAATTCCTGAAGCTGCCACTCTGAAAAAAAATCTGTTTTTAACACTGTACATCTTTGAAAAGTGGCCAGAGCAATGGGTACTTTCAGTCCAACATGAAAACCATTACACACCAATCTCAGCCCTTCTTCCAAAATAAGGAAGGAATGGAAAGGAAGAAGATCAGAGGACCTGTCAGTCGCATTCCAGACAGAGTTCCTCATCACCTCTGGGGCCAGCCAATGGAAATAATTAAGATTAGCAAAGATTTGTCAAAAAACCTTGAGCTCCTAGCTCTTGCCTCAGAGAAGGAAATGAGATGAAAAATAATCTTTCTAAACTTCAGAACTATTTTTTGAATAATACTATTGGGCAGTATACCTCTGGATTGTTGGGTGGGAAGATTGACTAGGCAAAGTTCTGTGAGATGTCATCATTATCCATATTTTCAACTACAGATCAAGAACTAAGTAACAGATCCAGTGGCAACAGAACTATGCAGGTGCAATCAAATGCAAGTCTTTCTGCCTTCCAACACTATGGTTTTGTTGTGTACATTTGTCTGGTCTCTCAAACAAAGCATCCATTTTTGAATGTCGAGTTGAATATACCCATTGCCCTCAACCACACTTGATTTTCCTGTGAGCACCTCACGTGAAATCATAATGTTTCTCAGGATCTTTGTAAAGCTTGAGTTAAAGAAAAAAATAAACTCGGGTGTCATATAACACCAAAGAACAAGAAGCAAATTGCTCCCTTTATGATAATCTGCTCATCTCTTTTCCCAACTGACAGGAAATTCAACTCTTACTACTGCCTTTTCTATTTCCCAAACTAAAGATGTTTTCTTATGAATGCAAGAATTTTTTTTGTAAATTTTCACACAACATTATCTTACCACTATCTCAATAAAAAGGTATCCAAACATCTGAGTCTTAACTATCCAAGATTAATAGTGGTTATTTTAAGTAAATGGGAGAGAATCATCTAGCCATTAAAGATTTTAAAGATAATTTTATCTACTATCCTATAGGTAATCTGCCACTTTCTAAAACTAAAAATGTAATAAACTATCAAATGAAGACTTTGGAAAAGTCAATGAACCAGATAAAGGTAAGAAAATGCACTTGTTATAGTGGTAAGTCTAGAATCAAAATTGACACGTTCCTAAAAGTAAACAGCTTCTCCTTAATTTTTCTCCCATTGGGCACTTCTATTTAAATAGGTATTTGTTATTCATATGGCTGCTAGTGGCCAAGAGAATCATGCATTTCTAATATATTCCTAACTCTTATAGCTAGTTTTAAATGTTACATCATGAGTAAAAAAAAATCAAATTCTAGACAAGACCATTCTAAAACACCAGTGCTGAGCCAGGGACCAGTGGCTCATGCCTGTAGTACTAGCTACTCAGGTGGCTGAGATTTAAGGATCATGATTAGAAGGCAACCCAGGCAATAAAGTGTGTGAAGTTCTTCTCTCCAATTAAACACCACAAAAGCTGGAAATGGAGCTGTGGCTCAAGTAGTTAGAGCACTAGCCTTGGGGGAAAAAAAGCCCAGGGACAGTGCCCAGCCCTAAGTTCAAGCCCCAACACTGGCACCAAGAACAAAAAAATGCAACTAATAAAACAATTAGACAATTACCTTAAGTACAGATGGAGGATACATTTGGCTTTATGTATTTAAGGTGTATAGGCTAAGTGTAAAGGAAAATGTTATGTGCTACATATCTGTCCTAAAGCCCTCAAGTCCTGAGATCTCACTGTCTTCCTTGGTCTCCTTAGGGTGAAACTGAAGAAGCCATACATCATGCCTGTGAAACCACTAACATGAAAACACAAACAGTTGCATCGTATTTTAGAGTAAGATGTTAAATTATGATGTGTTGTGCTTCGTGGTGTAATCCTTCTAAATGAGTTACACATCAAAACTTGGTAACAAACATCAGTGTGCCATTATCAAAGAGAATAATTGTAGCCATCCACCAGGTGTGACATGCAGAATCTATTAGAATGCACTAGCAAACATCTACAGATTGATTCATCTTGATGTTTTACTCATAAAAACACCGTGTCCCATGATAATCTTAACAGAAATGTATGCCTCCATTAAAATATGTCCCACAGATCCAAATGCATTTCACTCAAATAAATCCTAAAGAGATCTTTAATGCATCTTTAATGCTACCAGCTCCCCTTCCCCTTACGAATGATTTTTAGGATAGGTATGGGAGTTAAAGGTTAAGCATCCATCACCGGTCCAGACCTCTTTGCACACCCTCTGGAGACAAATAGAAGGTGATATAGGAATGGAGAGGAAAGGCAGTCATCAGAGGTACAGTAACACCAAAGCAGCCACACAGCATACATAGGACCTTTACTTCCTTAGTCAAGATGGGAGAAAGGAAAATAAAGAGGCACTTCCTTTCCTCTGTGCTCTGGAGAACTCTAGATGACCCTCTCTTGGGATTGGTTTCTTGTTTACCTCTTTGTATAAAATTATATTGGCCAGGCAATAAAAATGAGGAAAATCCCACCTACTACTTGGTAGTTTTTACCAATATAATTTAAAAGGGTGAGGGCATAAACTTACTATACATACTCAATGACCATATACAGTTCTCTGTAGAATCACTAAGTACTTTTTAAGTGATCTGAAGAGTGGTGTTAAATACCCTTTAACCCTAAACTCATAGTACAGTATGCTCAATCTTCCTTGTGTAGTGCTTATACATTTATATACTTAATATCCTATATTGGTGGCTGATCAATTGATTTTTTTAATAGCAGGAGGCAGCACAGAGAAATCACTAAAGAATTTATAGTCAGATTACTTTGGACTTTTGTTTTTGTTTTGTTTTTATGCTAGTACTTGAACTCAGTACTGGCTCTGTCCCTGAACTTTTTTGCTCAAGGATAACACTCTACCACTTGAGCCACAGTTCCATTCCCAGCTTTTTTTGATGGTGGTGATTAATTGTAGAGAAGAATCTCATGGACTTTCCTGCCTAGGCTGGCTTTGAAATGCAGTCCTCAGATCTGGGCCTTCTTTTTTTTTTTTATTGTAAAGATACTATACAGAGGGTTACAGTTACATGAGTGAGGTAATGAGTACACTTCCTCTTGAACATTGTTAGCCCCTCCATTGTTTTCCCCCTACCATCCCCTCCCTCCCTCCCTTCCCCGAAGTTCTTTTTTTTTTTTGATTGTGATTAAGTGATTACATAGTTTCTA